GCAGGCTCCTTGTTTTTATTGTGTGCTCTCAAGTTGGAACTGACCCATAGCTGACTAACCAGCAGGTTTTCAGAGACACTAAATTGCACGGGGTTTGGTTGGTTGATTGCCCATCCTCCCGTAGAGCAGCTGGTGGATTTGAACTGCATGCCTTTGGAATTTCAGCATAGCTTCTTATCATTGGGCCTCCAGAGCTCCCTTAGAGCAGAGCTTTAGACATGAAATAATTAATTTACCCAAGTCATGTCGAAGGTAAGAAGTTAGAAGCCAGCACTTTTATTTACTTACATGTTAGATGTGCTATAAAATTACCTTTAGATTTATTCTTTTTCATATTCTTATTACCACCAAGTTGGAACCAACTAATAGTTGATCTTTCTTCAGATTTTCAGAGGCTGTAAATCACACAAGAGGTTGCACATCTTTCTTCTGAAAGAGCCGTTAGTGAAACCTTGAGAGAAGTGTGGCCTTTGGCTTAGTACAACTTTCTACAGTCTACATATAGTCTCTATACTATAGTCCCTTTTGTGTTATTAGATACCAACCATCCCATCGGTTCTAATTCGTAATGACCTGTGGACAACAGAACTATACGTAGGTCATCCTCTCACTCTGCTGTGCCCCCTGTGGTATGACATTTGATGGTCTGACTGCCCTTTGTACCTGCTGTGCCACTGCATCCCATTAAGGGTCTTAGCAAGTCTTCCCATCCTTCTACAGACCATTCTGTGTGTATTTTTCTGAGACAGACTTACTTGTTCTTTGACAATCCCAGGTATTCTTCACCAGCAGCATGATTCAAATGTATCAGTTCTTCAGTCTTCTTTTTTATTTTGTCCATCTTTTGTTAAAATGGTATTCTTGCTTTTTAAAACTTTAAAAGAGATCTTTGATAGGGGATTTGCTCATTACAATATATATTTGTTGTCATAACTGGTCTTTCACAAGGATTTGATTGTGGAATTGTGTCCTCTGCTTTTCTCAGGTTGTTGATGAGTCTTCTAATCCTCCTGCCACACTCTTCATGTAATCCAGGACCTAGGATTGTTTCTCAGCACACCGCTTGAAAAAGTATGGTGAAAGAATATAAACATAATGCACACTTTTTCTCATTTAAAACCATGTAATGCTGCTTTATGCTAATCAGCTGGTTGCCTTTTGATCTTGGTACATGAAAACAGTTTAGTATCCTGGAATATACATTTTTTTACTTTTTATCTATAATTTATTATGACCCACATCATTGAATGCCTTTGCATAATTGGTAAAACAAAAACTTTTTGGTATATGTCTGTCATTGACATTGATAATCCTCATTCTTCCTTTTTGGAATCCAGCTTTAATTTCTGGCAGTTCCTTATCTATAGGTTGTTCTACCCATATTTTAACTTAATTTTACTTGCATGTGATAATAATGATATAGTGTTATAATTTCAGTATTCTACTGAGTCACTTTTTTTTAATTGGAAAATAATATAATTTCTTCCAGTTGGTGGTTAGATAGCTGTCTTTCATGTTTCTTGACAGACAAATTACCATGTCTTGATTTTATCCACTTTTTAAAATAACTGATACTTTGTGAGTTCTTGAAACCTTGTTTTTTTAGCCAATTCCTTCATTTCAGCTTAGACTACTAATTTTCATCAGCATCATTTAATCCTTACATAGGTTGGTTAATGATCTGTTCCAAGTCAACCCTTGGCCTTCTTTGTTTTCAGCTTTTTCTTTCAATGACTAGTTATTATTAATGCATCCTGATTGCATGTTCAGTCCATTTTGGACTGCAGTAGTTAGATGCCATCAAGTTGAATATGACTCATAGCGGCCCTATGTACAACAGATCTGAACCCTGTCCTATCCTGCACCATCCTCACAATCTCCAGCATTCAGGCAGTCACTGTGTCAGGCCACCTGATTGTCTTCCTCTCCTTTGCTGTCCTTCCACCTTCCCAAGCATGATGTCCCTCTCCAATGAATAGCCTCTACTAGTAACATGGCTACAGCATGTGAGATAAAGAAAGCTTCATCATCTTTGCCTCCAAGGAGCAGTCTGATGGCATCATCTCCAAAACATGTCTGTTCTTTTAGCAGTCCATGGAACATTCAGCTTTCTTCTCCAACACTACAATTCAAAGATATTAATTCTTCTGTCTGCAGAGGTGGTAGAAATAATTTTTTAAAACTAATTTTGATAGTTGGTGCATAAATTTGAATACTGGTTCTATAACAGATCTTCCTTGTGTGTGTATAGGTACACTTTTCAGTCATATTACATGAGCAAACAAAGGTCTTTAACTGGCTGAAAGCTTTATTCCATCCCTGTCCTTAAGGTAGATTTGACTTAGAAGAGACAACTTCCTCAATTCTATTTTGCCTTTCTCCTTGAGTTCTACTTTGCCTCATTCTCGGGCATTATTTTATTAGACAATCTTCTGCTATTATTCTTATTTTAAAACTATGTATTAAAATATTTGAGACAGACATACACACACAGAGTATTATAAGTTGTACAATAATGTAATAGGTCCCAGAAATCTAGGCTCCCAAAAACGATTACTTCCCAGATTTTTATCACTAGAGACTTGAATGTTTATTTTTTTAATTTTTTTTACAGCATATTCTTTCCATTTAATTTCCCTCCCCCCATTCATTCACTGTTGCACATGAATGTTTATTTTCACAGTCTTAACACAGAATAGGAATTTCCCCTTGTAAAATACATGCTACTTTCTTTGAGCTTCAGTTTACACTATTAGAAAACTGCAGTAGCCATTAATGAATTTTGGCTACAGAGGTATGTTCTTGTCTTGTTGTCACCCAGTATTTTGATTGAGAATAGGGGCTGTTGCTCTGGAGGAATGTTTTCGTTTTCTTAGGTCCTCATTTCCAAATGTCTAAAATAAAGAAATGGAATTAAATAAACTCAAGGTTTTTATCAACTATGAATTTGTCTAGGAAGTAAAGATATAGTACGTTGCAATGTGGGAGAAAAATGGACCTGGTTTTTGGCGATGGACTGAAAGAGCCATATGAGAGCCTCTGGCATTTTGGGGGAGAATGAGAATCAGCAGTACCACCTACACATAAGTACTTGGGACGAATCTGAAAAGGCATGTATTTTTTTCTCTAAACAGCTGCCAGACCACTTCTCCATTATAATGGGGACAGCAGTATGACAAAATCTGAATTGTTGATTTGTGATACTTAAGTCTTTTTATTTCAAAGCATATTGGCAGGAATGACTTTAAATTCTCACTTAGAGCACTTCTAATTTGAAAAAGGAAAATCCTTCAGGTACAGCCTCATTTGGCAGAGTGGTTGGGAGCAAGCATCTTGGGGAGGCTTTCTCAAGAATGAGTGGTTTTCTATCTTTTTTTTTTTTTTTTTTTTTTTTTTCTATCTTGGAATCGTACACTGTCCACTAAAATCTAGGGGTCTGGGGTGGGTTGGCTTTGAAGCTTTTTAATAATTTTATATTAGTTTGCATACAAAATGCATATAATTGTTTCATTCATATACACTGTGATTCACACATTTCCTTTATTCCCATTCTGTTTCATATGCTCATTCCCAAACATTAAATTATTATAAAATCAGTCACCATCAATCTATGCTCTCTATTATCCTATCTTTTCAAGTTTTCACTGATCGTTCCTGATTCCTTCACTCCCTCCCTCTACCCACAAAACTTTGTGACCCTTTGATTTCCCCTCTCAGCCCCTTAGTCCCTCCCTTCCCTATCTGGGTTCCCATGCATGTTTTACTAGTTAACTTTCTACTTTGGCAATAATGGTCTAGTGCAATATTTATCCTTATGAGACTGGATTAGTTCACTCTACCTAATGCTCTCCAGTGTCTCCTATGTTATATAGTATTTTTCAAAATTGTTGCTTATGAGTGCTGCGTAGTATTCCATTGTTGAATTTTTTTAAAAATAATTCAAAGATGCACCACAACAAGATAAACAACCCAATTGAAAAGTGGGCACAGTATGAGCAGACATTTCACCAAAGAAGATGTTTAGATGGCCAACAAGCACATGAAGAAATGTTCAAAATCCTTAGCTCTAAGAGAGATGCAAATGAAAACAACTATGAGATATCGTCTCACCCCAGTAAGAATAGCAAAATTTAACAGAACAGCAAATAAATGCTGGTGAGGTTGGAACCCTTATTCACTGTTCTTGGGAGTGTAAAATGGTGCAGCCACTATGGAAGGCACGATGGCACTTTCTCAAAGAGTTGTGAATAGAAATACAATTTGACCCAACAATTCCACTACTGGGAATATACCCCAAAGAAACCATAACTGCACCCAAGCAGTTATATGCACACCCATGTTTATTGCTGCTTTGTTCACAATAGCAAAGAGTTGGAAACAACCTAAGTGCCCGTCAACAAACGAATGGATAGAGAAGCTGTGGTATATTCACACAATGGAAATACTACGCTGCATTGAAAAACAGGGAGCTCATGAAATAATTATACAAAATGAGTGACCCTGGAGGACATTATGCTGAGTGAAATATCTCAGTCACAAAACGACAAATACTGCACAGTGCTACTGTTGTAAAACAGGACTGACATGGGGGTTGAGGGGAGACTGAGAAAGATGGAATAAATTATGTATACAGTATTGAAACAGATGAGGTTAAGAACTGTTTAAAAGGGATATATGATTAAGTATTATTGTCATGACAGGAGTCCAGAAAGAAGGCGGCATAATGGAGTGGACTTGGGAGGGATTGTATAACAATGAAAAAATTTTTCTTTTACTTTTTAAAGAGAAAAGCGAGCTGGAGGGTGGGGGTAGACTGGGAGAAAAGTGCAACAGTGAATGTATGGAAATCCAGAGGCTTTGTAAATTTTCATTAAAATTAATAATATTTTTTAAAAAAAAAACAAGAATCCAAAGATGGTTGATACACGTTTCATTTTTTTTTTCCTACCTAATTTTAAAAGTTGGGGTTTTCATGGAAATTTCCCCCCTTCTTTCTTCAGCTGCCCAGTGAGAAAGAAAAGGCTGACTGAAGCCGGGCTCTCTCCTGGTCCTACCGACTGGATTCTTTGTGCACATCAGGAAGTAGAGGGTCATGGAGTAAATCCATGCTCTGGTGGTAGCCTTTCTCCACCTGGCATGTTAGATGTGCTCTGTGAAGAAATGGATCAGACAACTGTAGAACCACAGTGTGAAGTTGCCCGAAGGAGGCTTCAGGAGATTGAGGACAGGTAAGTGGTCAACTGATGGAGCAGACATGGTGCTTTACAAATTGGGGCACACCATGTGTATACTGTGCAGGTTAACCTGAGCTCTAAGTCTCAAAGAGTAGAGTGGAACATTTACTATCTCTGCATCTTAATCTTTAGGGTTTTTATTTATGAGATAATTTTCTGCAATACTTTCTTTAAAAATTTGATTATATCTTACGTAAAACTTTTTTTTTTTACTTGACCTATTGCATGGCTCTTTTTACACATACTTTTTTCCCCACCAACTTCCCCCCCTAGTTTGTATATTACTAGTTTATTATAAAAGGGAAAAGACATATGGAGGTTATTTATGTGTTGAAAGATTTTAGAACTTCAGTGGAATGAGCAGCTTCATGTATAACTCAGTCTACATATTTCCCAAGAATGTCACTATCTTTAAATAAGAAATAATCCTTGTCATCTATAACTACTTTGGTGCCTCCATATTCTGGGAGGAGAACTTGACTGCAACTTTCATACTAGCTAGTTGACCATCTCCACCCTTTCCTTTAGATCCCGGTCCAACAGCTAGTACTGTTGTTTGCAATAATTTTACTTGATATTTTTCTGGAAGATATTTCTTCTCCCAGAATATGGAGGCACCAAAGTAGTTAGAGACGACAAGGATTGTTTCTCATTTAGAGATGGTGACATTCTTGGGAGGTATGTAGACTGAGTTAAAATCACTACTGAAGTGGCATTACGTGAAGCTGCTCATTCCATTGAAGTTCTGGACTCCTTTGGTTACGATTCCAGCTGTGCACTTTCCCACCAATACCCATTCAAAAAGAGAAAGAAACTTTGTAAAGACCTGTCCTGCCCTGGTCGTTGCAGCTTGCATCCCACTCCCAGTAGTTACCACAAGGAGGGCTTTTACCCAAACGTTTAGATTTTAACTTTTACTGCAGCACTTGTTGGGGTTGTTGGATTTTTTTGTTGTTTTTGTTTACAAAAAAACCCTGCAACCAAAAAACAAGATTTCCCATTTGCTACAACAATGCATAGTGTTGTTGAATGCCAAAGAATCAGCTCTATGTACAACAGAACTGCTCAGTCTTGGAACATCTTCATAATCTTGCTGTGCTTAAAGCCCATCGTTGCAGCCACTATGTCAGTCCATCTCATGGCTTGTCTTCTCTTTCTTTGATCTCTCCTTGACCAGCTGTGTTATCTTTGCTCAAGGACTAACCCCTCCTGATAACATGCCTAAAGTATATGAGACAGTGTCTCACCATTTTCACTGTCAAGGAGCATCCTGGCTGCCCTCATTCTGAGACACATTTACTTAGGATTTTTCAAAGGTCAGCCCATAATCAGTCTACCTACCTATCTATCTATCTATATCTATCTATCTCTGTAAAGATATAGATAGATAGATAGATAGATAGATAGATAGATAGATAGATAGATAGATATCTCCAGTGTAACAGTAGTTTGACTAAATAACTTTTCCTTCTCTTAATTAGGATAATTGATGAAGATGAAGAAGTTGAAGCTGACAGAAATATTAGCCATCTCCCCAGTCTTGTCCTTTCTGATACGATGAAAACAGGTTTGAAGAGGGAATTTGAAGAAGTCTTTACGAAGAAAATGATTGAGTCCATGTAAGTTTTGATGCCTGATTTCTCTTTAATTATGTTCTTTAAAGGGGAAACCCAGTGTATCTAGACAGTTCCTGTTTGGGTTTTTTGTTTGTTTGTTTTTGTTTGTTTGTTTGTTTAGTTTTATGTGTGTGTACCATCAAACCAGATTTGACTGGTACAGGAGGAGATTAGATTGTCCCTCCTTCCCCGGCAGAGCATCTGGTGGATTTGAACCGTCCGCCTCTGGGATTGTAGTTGCAGCTCCTTGCCACTAGGCCATCAGAGCTCCCCTGACAGTTCCTGTTTTATCCTAGTCATTCCTTTTTTTTTTTTTCTGACAATCAGGCAAGCAAAAACATAGCAGGTTTTATAGTTATCCTGTCGGAGACAAGCCTGTTCTTTAGTTTATTGGTGTGAGTAGATGCTATACAAGCAGAAATTTGAAGTATTGCCTTTTTAAAAAAAAAATAATATATTTTTTATTGATATTTTAACAAAAGTTTACAGAAAACTTGGATTTCCATTCATTCACTGTTGCACATTTTTCTCCCTAGCCCACCCTCCCAGTGTGCTTTTCTCTTTAAAAAGATTCTTTCATTGTTGCACACTTTCTTCCCTTCCCAGTCCACTTTTCTATGCATCTTTTATTCTGGGCTGTTGTCATGCAAATAATACCTAATCATATATTCCTTTGGAACAGTTCTTTTCCTCATCTGTTTCAATGCAGTGTTGATTACTTATCCCCTCTTTTCTTAGTTTCTCCCATTCTCCATGTCAGTCTTGTTTTATAACAGTGGCATTATGCGTTATTTGTCTTTTTTATTGATTTAATTAATTAATGTGTGTACCGTCAAATCGGATCTGACTGGTACAGGAGGCGATTGTTCCTCCCTCTTCAGCAGAGCATCTGGTGGATTTGAACTGCACACCTCTGGGATTGCAGTGCAGTTTCCTGCCACTAGGCCACCAGAGCTCGCCATGTCCTTTTATGGCTAAGATATTTCACTCAGCATAATGTCCTCCATGGTCACCCATTTTCTATAATATTTTATAAGTTCCTTGTTTTTCAATTCTGCGTAGTATCCCAGTGTATGAATATACATACCACAGCTTCTCTATCCATTCACTTGTTGATGGGAAATATTGCCGCCTTAATTCTTGATTGAAGTCCTGAAATACACTGGAGGTGCACTGCATCTAGTATTTGGGAAGAGAATATGGCAAAAGAGAGTTCATTAATTTATATTTTTGTGATAGGTTATAGGAATCACATTTTGAAACTGCTTGTTTACCTAACCCTTTCAATTATCTAGGAACAATGATGATTCTTAAGAAACAGTAGTAAAAGAGGAGCTCTGGTGGCCTAGTGGCAAGAAGCTGCACTGCAATCCCAGAGGCTCACAGTTGGAATCCAGATCTGATGTGACGGTACACACACACACACATAATAAAATAAAAATTGAAAAAAAAATTAAAAATAAAAAAAAAAGTAGTAAAAATAAGATTACAGACCAAAAGTCATGTTCTCGCTCACAGAGTAGCTCCTCAGGGCCTTTTGTGGAGATATCTAGCTATTTAAGTACGGTGAGCTTCCTTAGCAGGTTTCCTAAGTTATTAGAGAAGAAAGAGGGGAGAAGAAAATTCGTAGCATCCATTAGGGACAGTTAGTACTGTAAGAGAGTAAAAGTGGAGACTAGAAAGCAAACATTAAAAATATAAAGCCCACTGCTGTTGAGTCAGTTCCAAACTTGAGACCACCCTCCATCAGGTTTCTGAGGCTGTGAATCTTTTCTCGGAGGATAATATCTTTTTCCTGTGAAACAGCTGGTAGACTAAAAGCACCAACTCCTAGTTAAAGACTGTGACATACATAGCAACTGCACCACCAGCCCAGAGCCCATTAGCATAAGAACTATTAGACCTGTAAGCCTGGTAAATCTTGAGCCTAAAGATCCCAAATTGTTGTTACTCTGTGTGTAAAATAATATGCAAATTAGAAAATGCTGTTTAGGTATTTTTCGTCTTTGTTAGACACAGTTGAATTTATTTGAAACACTACAGTAGAACTGTCCCATTGGGTTTTCCAAGCCATTATCTTCACATCTTTATCCCACAAAACCAGAACTACCAGGTATATTTGGAACTATCTTCTTGTTAGCAGCCATCCTCTTAACTATTACCACCAGGGTCATTTTTAGGTATTTAGATCTTGAAAATAAATAGATTTGGTCTTAAAATGAAGATACATTTCAGAGAACTGAAAATGCATTTTAGAACCCCAGCTCCCGTGATCGTGGCTGGTCCCTTAGGCATTGTTGCCTGTGGATACAAGAGAAGTGGTTGTGCTTAGAGCTCCAGCTACTGCTAGGTTTTTAGATCACAGAGCTTTGTCCTAGCTTAAGGTTATGATGAAGCTCCATAGTCCTGAGAGTAGTAGGTAAATAGTATAATAAAGAGTAAGGAGTTCATGTTGCCCTCCAGCCTAATACATAGCACTTTTTGCTGTAAACTAGCCTTTGAGAATGTTACTCTTTGATAGTGTTTCATTTTTACTTACTTGTCTTTGGGTATCAGAAACCCATCAGTGCCAGGGAAGGTGCATAATCATTTTGCCTTAACTGAAAAGCATTGTCCTTAATAGCTAACTTAAATGGAAGCCTTCTTTTTCTTTCTTTCTTTTTTTTTTTCAGCTTGGTGGTTTGCTCTTTATTGATGTGCCTCCTACCTCCCCCTCTCCACAATTTCAGTCCTTTCCATATACCCCCAGAGAGAAGGTAAAGAAAGGGATTGTTGGGGTTTGAACCCCTTGTATACTTAGAAACCAGAACAGCAGACTGGATGTAAGACTGACAACCTAGAAGTCTGAAGCAGAGTAGGAGAGATGACAGAAAAGTGAAGGAAAGAGAAAGGAGGTGCTGGGGACCATCTCCACCATTACCCCTCTTAGAGGGGCTAGAGAAAAAGCCTCAAGCAGTAAGTAGTACAGGTCTTGAATAGGGGAAGGTGTTGAGCCTGAAGAAAGAAGGGTAGGTCAAGAAGGCGCGGGGGTGGGGGTGGTACTTTTCTCTATGTAGAATGGGAGCCCCCAAATTAACCCCTGAATACTTTTTAATGTATTGTTGCTTTTATTCTTGTGTTGGAACCAACTCTTGGCTGATCCTTCAGGTTTTCAGAGACCATGTATGACTCGCCCATCTTTTCCCAAGGAACAGTTGGTGGATTTGAACCATGTGCCTTTAGGTTGGCCACCACAGATCCACAGATCCCTGCTGTACTTAAAAGTACCAGTAAAACTAGGTGCCTTAGTTACAGAATTACATGCCCAACTCTGGAATTTTATGTATTTAGGTGATCTTCCTGAAGAGCAGTTTGAATTGTAAATCTCCTATTTTAATGCCATCGCTTCCTACCTTAAGTTATTAAGTAGCAAACTTTAGCTTTTCGCACTTAATTCTTTATTTTCCCATCAGTTGTTTTCTAAAAAATTCATGGTTTATGTCATAGGAGCCGCCCTTCCATGGAGCTGGTGCTCTGGAAACCTCTCCCTGAACTCCTTGCTGATAAGCCAAAGCCATCAACTGATGCTAAGAACTACCCAGGAGAGAGCCAGACGAAGCATGCAGCTGCTGGCCCTGCCTTCCCTCAGAGAACTGATCTCTTCTTGGAAGCACGGCCATCAGGGGGGCCACTTTACGAGAGTGTGCAGACAGCTGCTTGCACAGAAGAGGAGATGGAACTCTAGAAACCATTTTCTACACTAAAGTTTTCAGATTTTACATGGTTCCTGTGTTCAGTCATGAGCATACTTGTGTAGGAACTTGAAAGGCTTTATGAAACGGGTGTAGTAAGATCTCCACCTGTGATATAGGGTGAGACTCTTCAATTTGGGTAGCCATTTATTGAACTCATCTTTTTGCCAAGGAAGTTTTTCTCAAGAGAATAAGCTATTTTTAGGGGACTTTTATTAAAGAAAAGTCACAGCCACTATATAAAAGAAAATGCAGAAATGGTATGAGTAAAGTGGCTTAATTTACCTATTAGATTGGCTAAACCATTCAGAGGTGGAAAATATTCTCATTGACATAGGTTAGTTGGGTTAAGAAAGGAATATAGCTACAACTCACAGTTGAGTCTATAGCTTAGTCTGTGGACAGCTCTTTTTACAGTGGTGACTATATGTAATTGGAGGAAAGACAGCAGTAGCTAAGCCTGTTAAGAAGTTGAAAGGGATCCTTGAAGCTTGCCTATTAGTTGTCAGTTCAGAATAGCTGTATTGATTTAATAATAGCCAGTTGTAATGGTGGCTCGTCTCTTCACCTCTGAAAAGGTTATGAAAACACAAGAGTTTTCCTTCAGAGCTATTTTTTTTGCCTTGTGCTACTGTTTCACTTTGGTTCCCCCACATAATTTATAAGCCTGGTTATTCAGTAATGTTTACAAGTCAGTTAACTTTGAATAATAGTTAAGACTAAAGTTACCCATGTGCATACTGGCTATGGGAAAAGCATCCTAAGGAAATGCTGTGTCAGTGAAACCTGAAATGGGGAGGGGGAAGCGTTATACCAGTATTAGCTTGTTAAAGTTTTGGGATTTTGTATTGTTCTAAAATTGTAGTTTAGAAAATAACTGAGAACATAGAGACAAGTGTTACTGAGATAGCCAGTTTGTGTGGTGCTTAAAAGTATTGTGCAGTGAGGTGAAATGTTACTAGAAGGAGCTTCCTGTTCTCAGGGAGCCTTCACTTCTTTAATACCTAAACCAGGCTCAAGATGGTCTTTGGGGATAACCATGGTTGAAGTTTTTAATTTCTCAGGAAGAGCTCTTCTGTGTGACAAAGGTCTCTAGTGCATAGGAAAATGAGTTTCTTTACTACAACCAAATACCTGTTAGAATTTGTAATTGAGAAAAATACCCTTTCATCACAGAGCAGGAGGATCACTCCAATTCTTTGTTTTGAGTTTCTTCCCGCATTTATTGGAATTTGATACCTTATGTACAGAGGGTAGGGGATGGTTTATGCTGTATTGAGGTGAATTTTCAGAAACCAGTTTGGAGGCATCTTTAAAACCATGCTGAAAGCCTTTCCCTTGTTACAGATGGTGTAGCAGTCACAAGTCTGTTAGCTGGACTTGTTTCTTTTCTTGGCCTGTTGTTCCTGCTTTCTCTGTTTCTGTCTGGATAGTCAGGAAAAGATTTAATGTTTAATATTTAAACAAAATATTTAATGTCTGCACAGTAAAATTAAACGAACTTCATACCAGTGTTGAAACCAGTTGGACACCAGCTAATAGTTTCTTAATCTCAGACTTAGAGATGAATGTAAACTGTATTCTGTTGAAATGTGCACGTGTTTGATTCATGCCGTTTGAAAAATTCCTGCCTTGTCATTGTTTAATGGGACCAACTTGTAAAGTGTGTAACCATAAGTCTCCATGCCAAGAAATTTATTCTAGTACAACTCAAAACATAAAGTAGCTGTCCAGAGTTGGAAGTTTGTCCCTATGTTTGGGTGGACATTGAAATGAGTTTTCCAAAGAAGAGCCCCCAAAAAACTGATCAATAGGAAATGTGGGGCAGGCCTCTGATCACTGATCTGTGAGAGGGGGGAAAAAAGGCCCCCAAACAAGGCTGTGACACTATTGCTAGATAGCAGAGAGAAGGAAGATTCTGTTCATTACAATCCAAACAGAACTTCTTTGAGGAGTCAAGTTAATGATCTGATATTTATTTCTGCAGGAAAATAGATGCTCGGTTTTGAACTTTATCTTCTTGCGTATGTTTGAACCAAGTTTATTTTCATCTTGTGGTGCTTACCCTCTGAGCTGTCTCCCTTGTCCCAGTACTGTGCTTTCTTTTTCTAGTGTGTTGGAGGGTTTTTTTGCCTTTACATTTTCTTCCTAGGTCTCTTTGGTTTTATATAACTTCTGCAGCATGGATCAAACAGTGGCTTAGTATACTAAGGTGTGAAGAGAAAAAATTATCTAAAGCAGTGAGCTTTAATGAACAAATGTATATTTTCTCTAAGTTTGAGTAGGATGTGTATGGGGTTTTTTGGTGTTTTTTAATTAATATGAAGACAGACCAATTCTCAAATATTAGTTACCTTAAAAACTGTTCTTGAAAAAGTATAAAGATAAAATTTAGAAAAGTAAGTCAAGTGGAGTCAGAACCAAGAGAAATTTAACCAGCAAAGTTGTTACTTTATATCTGAAATTTGGTTTGATTTTATTTTTCAGTGATGACAAGAATGGTGTCATTATGGGAAAGTTCTGGAAAATGTTGTCAATTGTATTTTAAATTGAGAATCTGGTGTTTCTATATTTTATCGTTTTCAATAAAACTTAAGTGTTTTGGACTTTCTGAGATATTTGTGTTACTACGGGAAATCAAATGCCACTTTGATTTTCTTTAAATCGTAGTTTACAAAGCAGCATTTTCATATCAGTTATGTGCTCATTTGAAGTTTATTCTATTAGGTTAAAGGTAAACTTAATAAACCAGCTGTTTCCAAAACAGGCAGACTATTTTACCATCCTAATCCCACAGGATGTTTTCCACTCCAAGTCAGTCACTACTGTTGACTTGTGAGCATTTCAGTGGCTGTGGTGAAGTGTCTTCAGAAACAATCAGATGTGGAGTGGAAAAACAGCAGAGTTCACAGCAGCTTTGAATCTTTAAAATGCAGAGACATAACGTGATCGGCTTCATAATTGTTAGAGGATGTTTCATGACCATTCCTTTCTTAAATTGACAGGTCACCAGGGGGCAGTGTTGCCTGCATCTTTACAACCATATTTTGGCTCACTGTGGACTCCTGATTTTTTTTCAGTGTAAGTTTGCAGCTGAGCTTGAGCTACAATTACAGAAAATAGGATACTTTATTTTTATTAGAATGTGAGAATCACATCTAGACGTCTGGTTTTTTTGCTCAAAAAGTTTGGAAACTTAAGGCTAACTAGACAGTATTATAATCCATCTCACCAATTTGATTGTTCTTTCTAGTTACCTGGATAACGAGTTGCACTGCCAACCAACAGGCAAGCAGTTCAGATTCACAAGTTGCTCTGCGAGAGAAAGATGGGTCATTTCCCATGCAATTTACAGCCTCTGAAAAAGGGAGTTGACTTTGACTCGATGGCAATGAGTTTGAGTTGGTTTTTCTGTCTTTGTGGCAATACCTGACAGGTTGGTCATCCAGAGTTTATTGAAATGATAAGGTATTTTCAGGCAGAGTATTTATCTGCTTAGTTCAAATCTAGCACTGTTAATTAATTCACTGATTCCTCAGAACACAGTGGCATCTTAGAGGCAAGCTAAGTACAGTTAGGATACAAAGATTATAGCAAGACACTAATGTCTTTCAGTAGCAGGTTGATGGGTAAACAAGCTAGTCTTCTGTTCCTTTTTTTTGTGTGTGTACCATCAAGTTGGAACCAACCCGTAGCTGACCGTCCAACAGTTTTTTTTTAAATT